CTTAATTGAATAACAAGAACAATCACATGTAAATGATGTTACTTTGAAATGATGTTAATTACGCTAAATTAGAACAACGTTACAATGTTACGTATTTGAAAAATGGCTTTTTAAATTTCAATAAAACTTTCTCTCTACTTCTCATATATCTATCCTATTTATTATACACATCTATCCATATATCTGTATATAGTACATCTAATATTACATATCTATCTTTTATCGAGCAAATGAATAATTCAAAGAAACCTTACCAATAACTGTTAAATTGACTTTGGAGTTTCTCGTCTGGCCAATTTGAAAATCGACACGACATCTGTAGATACCGGCGTCCTCTTCTCTCGTGTTCTCGACGCCTAGTTGCGCCGGTTGCTTGTCCAGCATGAAATAGGCGCGATTCGAGAATACGCTGTTGTCCGACCATCTTTCAGCGACCCCAAATTCTCGGTTCCTGGCGTCGATGCTGTAATAAAAAATCATATCGATAATAAATGGGAGAGTCAGGTATTGGCAACGTGAGCTGTTTTGCGTTAATCTTCTTTAAAAAATGCACAATCCGCCTCATGAACAATATAGAGGAATACTTATAATGAATGCGCGTATTCGTTTTCTCTTCTCCCGTTTTCGGATAAAAGGGAGCTTATGATATTAAGCTGTATCAAAAGTATTTTAGCAGAGAATTTGATCGTATTAATGTCGCTAAATTATAAATTCTCTCACCTTTTGATATTACATATTAAAATGTACGTGTAAATGAATTTAGTATGCAATAATGATGATGATAATGCGATAATTTCCGTTTCAGAGATGCGAATCGGAAGATTAAATTGTGTTGGAATTAAAAAGTGCGAATAAAATTCCATTCATCAAGATAAATGCTTTTGTAACGTCATTAAAAAATGTAGGTCATGCAAAATATTGTATTATGTATACAACATTTTGCAAGAATATTTTATGACGCAGTCAACCGTTTACAGTCATGTGAATAATCCGACAGACAGATTTTCGAAATGCTATATTATGCAGTTTACGATATGTGTCATCTACAATAATAAGCACGAATGAAAATATCTGAAAAATGCGCCCGATGAATTATAGTGAGAATAATTTCATGGTAGATAAAATACTCGTTACGGGAATTGTTGTAAACACAAAATGTGGCGAATGTTTGCACTGAGGAAACGGACTGCAAAACCGATTGTTTTACCATTCCCGTAAAACAGAGATTTTCCCGTCGTCGCAATGTCGCGTCGTCGGTTTTGCGCCGACCCGCTAACTTTTCTCTTTCTTCGCGCGATCCCGTCATACAACGAAGTTTTCGCGTTTTTGTCACGAGATCGTATTTTTTTATCGGACGAGTTTCGCTCAAAGCCATTTGATTCGATACAAGGAGGATATTTAAAACGGCGTAAAAAGTTCTGCAAAGGCGCTGGGCGTCTGACGGAGGCGAGGCGAAGGCATTAAAGATACTGAACAGAGTGTTCTATTTTTGCCTTCTATTTTTACTTTCTTAATGATAATTTTTTTTGACATTTTCATCGTTAATCTTTCTTAAAGGAAGATGACGCGACATTTATAGTTTCTAAATAGATATCAAAAATAAAGAATTTTCGATAAATTAAGCTCTAGTAAAGATGATAGATAATAAAATCATTCTTCAATTAATTTTAAATGGCTCCTACTTCAAAATAAAGTTTAGATTAAAGTAAGCTATAAAGATATATGTATTTAAGATATAATAAATATGCAAAAATAAATGTATTTTTAGAGATGAGCGATATATATTTTTAACGAGAAAATCTATCGTACTATCTGGCCGCTCATTCAATCCTGACGTTTTGAATATCGAAATTTTGGCATTGAAGGCACAAAAAAAAATCGCAAACGGATTTCGCTGCCACAGACTTTAACCATTTTCCATCGATAACGCGAACGGCCACATGTACTCGTATTGCATTTGTCAATTATCAATCGGAGTCGATGCTTAATTTTAAAGGATACGTGCAGTTCGGATGGTGATTTTAACGGCAGGTGTCATTACCGCGGTAATTTCGATTAATGTTTATGAGTGTTGTTTCACCGCAACCGGCAGCCATGGACGAATTCATCAGTCCACACGAAGGAATAAATTAAAATCCACGAGGGATTTCCCACTGCATAGTTTAAATCGCGTTCTAACCCCGGCGCGTTATCGCGGCCGTTGTAATTGGCACATAATTAAAGTTCCTCGGATGATCATTATATACGGGTAATCATTATTTCAAGCCGTGAACGCTATCAAATTGTAATAATTATACAGCTATAATTGATTTCATTTCACGGCGATTGCATTTCTCTTTCGCCGTTAATTACCGCCTAATGATTTACATGATGTGACACGGATTGCGTTGCAGTTTTTAAATAAAATTTCTCAAATTCTGCTGATCTGCGCGATTAATGCGAACGTTATTAACATTCCGGATTGCAAATATCGAATCCGGCGTGTCGTTCGTATTCCCCATTCGCTCGATTGTTATTGTTTGGGAAAATGCAAGTATTTCGCTACTTAACGCCGCGAATAAACGCGTATCCATGCGGCATTCGAACGAACGAATCCGCTTAAAACGCCGTTGCTATTTTTCCTGCTTTTTAAGATCCGTTACGCTGCCGCGTGACGGGCTTCTCAGTATGTGTATCGTAACGTTTGAAAAGGATTTTAAAATCGCGAGCTGAGGATACTCCAGCGTCAGCCGGCGTTTCTGCTTTTCTATGAAAGGAAGCGGATAATGGTGTGGGCGGGGGCGAGAGTTGCATGTTAAGCACACCGTTAAGTGCTTAACCATAATACAGCCACTGCTAATCTGCGTTGCAGATAGAGAGGCTTGTTTATGAAAAATGCAATACAACCGTCGACGTACAATAATTTTAATAAAAAGCGAGGATCTAAAATAGAGTTAGGATTTGCCGAAGGATTAACGAGAGCTGCGGGATGAATTAGTTATTTGTACCTTCCGTTCGCTTTGTGTGATTCTCGTTCGTAAATTCTTTCTATATCTGATTACGATTCTTCTCCATTTTTAAAAAACTAAGCTACTTACCGCTCGCCATTTTTATTCTGCTCTCTATATGTGCGACGACGAATTTTTCATAATAACGCATTTAATTGTAAGTCCTCAATAGCTGGAACTAGAATGTGACTAACTCGCCGTATGTAAAAAAAATTTAACTCAGCAAACTCGAAGTTACATGTAATGTACTTATTAGTTATAATACCCCACTAATATAACGCGATATAATATATATATATATATATAAACGTATTATATTACAGTTATATTGTTGAGTAGAAAATTATAACTAACAGATACATTACATGTACTTGGTGTTTGCTTGGAAGGGACGCAAAAATGGCGATATAAATTTCTATATATTTTAATTCATTCGCTACTATCGGTGACTAATATTATTTCTTGTTATATTTTACACGTCGTGTTAAAATTAATAAAAGAAATGTTTTGTTATTAAGGGACGCATTTTTTTCTTTTGTCTCAAACACCGAGATGTCTAGTTTTAGCTCTGTTGTAGATCTGCACATCAAATTATCAATGCCCAAATCATCACGCTTCTGTTATTTGAGTTCTCTATGAAATCGATTCATGGAAGATTCAGCACTTGATTGTATTATCGACGCGATCACAATTCGTACGTACAGACGTATTTCGAAGAGAAACACAATGAAAAATACAATGATCGTTCTCTATTCGATATTGTCAATGCCAAGTCGCGAAGCGAGATTCGATCTCAACGGGAAATACACATGCGAAACGCGAAACGATCCCAACTTCAAAATGTCCGGAGCGTGACAATGGTGCCATGAGACTTGTTCGAAACGACTAGGCGACTGTGCGAGTCAAGGAGAGAAACAAGCGTTTGGTCGGACAAGCGTCAAAACAAAGGCGATTGCTCCTGCCTTTGAACTTGTCGTCGTGGTGAAAACGACTGATTGATCTCTCACTTTAATGGTATTATCAAAATTATTGACAACAGTTTGCAATATTCAGTTTGTCTCCTATTACTTTTAGTTGTCGAGGTAGCCGTCTGTGATTCTTAGTGGCAACCTTGTGGTTGCTTATCGAAGTTATTTGAAATGCTTGTAAAAGGTAATTATAAAATTTAATAATAATATAAAATTTTAAGTATCGAATAATTTATTCGTAAAATTCATTAACACATTGTCTGCTTAACGAGTTTTACGTGCCTTACTGTGTACGTCACAATATAATGTATTTATTATCAGAAAATATAATAATGAAATATCGTGTAATATATAATATTGAATATGAATGGTATTCTTTATGGCGAGTGACATAAATAGTTAGGTAATAATAATTATCTAGCTATTTGTGTTACTATTAAACATTTCTATACTAAAAAAAATTATATTGTGTCGTGCGAATAGTATACTGAAAGAAAAATTTGTAATATTTGTGACTATAATTACATGTTACCATAATTATACTGCTATAATATTAATAATAACTATTTTAGAATTAAATATAATATAGGTCTATTATCAAATCACATATACATACATTCTTTGAAACAATATTAAATAAATATATATTGATCCAAAAAATAAACTATAATTAAAAACGAATTATAATTAAATTATTTATTAATTAAGTAATTTCAGTCATTTTTGTGCTAATAATAACTATATAGTAATTATGATCA